TGTTTCTGTGCGTGCCAACCGACACAGTCCCTGAAAGGAGGTAACTGAACGGTAGTCACTGATCGAAATCGGGTGTTGGGTTTGTGAGAATAATGGAAAGGCATACCCATGTGGTCGTAGCCTAGATGTCATATATATAATAAAAGGAGTTTTGAGTACATTAGGGAATAAATTAAATTTGGAATCCTAATTAAAGTATTAATTACATTATTACACCCCCTCAAGCTGTGCAGGGGAAACAATGCGCAGATTGTTCCTAAGAAAAATAAAACGCTGCGCAGATAAACTCTTGGTAAAAATATCCGCTAGCTGAAACTGTGTCGGAACATGACGAACAAGCAGATCTCCATGGGAAACTCTCTCACGTACAAAATGATAATCAATGCTGAAGTGCTTACTACGAGCATGCTGAATAGGATTCGCTGACAAATAAGAAGCTGAAATATTATCACACATGAGCTTAACTGGATCACGAATGGGAAGCCCAACTCAAATAGAATGGAGCGTATATGCAGTGTATCCTGAACAGTATATGCAATAGCCCTATACTCAGCTTCTGTAGAGGAACGTGAAACCGTAGGCTGCTTCTTGGACTTCCAAGAGACTAAATTAGGACCCAGAAAAGTAGCAAAACCGGAGGTGGACCGACTGCTATCTGGACATCCAGCCCAATCAGCATCCGAGTAAGCTTGTATGATGGGAGATGCAGTGCTCGACTGAAGAAGTAGTCCGTGATCAATAGAACCTTGTAGATACCTGAAAATGCGCTTAACAGCCAAAAGATGAGGTGTACGTGGTGCAGGCATAATTGGAAAACCAAGTGTACAACATATTTAATATCAGGTCGAGTCATAGTTAAATACTGTAATGCACCAACCATACTTCTATACTCAGATGGATCAGCCAGTAGATCCCCATCAGTGAGAGTAAGCTTAGTTCGCGTAACCAGCAGGGTTTGAACAGGCTTAAGGGTGTGAAGATGAAATCTGGTAAGAAGATCAGACACATATTTGTGCTGAGATAAAAATAAACCAGATCGTACTCGAACAGCTTGGACACCTAGGAAAAAGTGTAAATCCCCCAAATCTTTCATGGCAAAAAATCGGCCAAGACATGAAATAAATGTGGAAATAAAGGATGGGGAATTACCAGTGACAATGATATCATCGACATACAAGAGAAGATAAATAACTGATGAACCATGTCAATATATAAATAAAGAATTATCAGACTTACTACATACAAAACCATGCGTCAGCAAAAAACTACTAAACCGATAAAACCAGGCTCGGGGAACCTGTTTGAGACCATAAATAGCTTTGCGGAGACGACAAACATGGTTAGGAAAATGTGGATGAATAAAACCAGGAGGCTGACGCATATAAAGTTCTTCAGTCAGATTGCCATGTAAAAAAGCATTTTTAACATCTAACTGACGAATAGTCCAATTAAACGAAACAGCAAGAGATAAAACAATACGAACAGTAGTGGGCTTAACTACAGGACTAAAAGTTCCAGAAAAATCCACACTAGCTTGTTGAGTAAATCCCCGAGCCACCAGACGTGCCTTATACCTCTCAACCGACCCATCTGAATTAAATTTAGTTTTATAAATCCATTTAGACCCGACCACATTTTTACGAGGATTAAATGGAACTAAATCCCAGGTATGATTATCAATGAGCGCATTAAATTCTTCCGCCATAGCCTCTCTCCATTTAACATCCTTATTAGCTATAGAAAAACAAGAAGGATCACATGCCGAAATATCTGTTTTAAGATTAAAAATAGTTTTGGGTTTAAAAATACCAGATTTAGCTCTAGTTTGCATCGGATGACAGTTAATCGGGGAAGATGCATGCTCGGATGGGGATGGTGGATTATCGACAATGATGGAAGCAAAATGACGGACTGAAGGATGGGAAGTACTGGGTGGGGAATTGGTCGGCACAAGGTCATTTGGACTGGAGGAGACAGGTGAGGCCGGGAGCTGACTATGGTTGGCAGAGGTGGCAATAAAATTTGGAAAACACGCACAACCAAAAACACGCATAAAAGAGAAGTCAGGAGAGTGGTGAAATAATTTTTCAAAAGGTGATGCACCATTTAAATTGGGAGTGGGGAGACGATTAATAATATATGTAGCAGTAAACACAGCATCTACCCAGAAACTGGCTGGAAGTTTTGCCTCAAGAAGCATAGTGCGAGTCAGTTCAAGTAAATGTTTATGTTTACGTTCAGCAACACCATTTTGTTCAGGAGTATCTGGACAAGATTTTCGAAACAAAATGCCATTGCTACGAAAAATATCACGCATACTATGATTATCAAACTCACCCCCTCCATCACTTTGAAAATTTTTAATCCTAGAATTAAATAAATTTTCTACCATTGATTTAAATTGCGTAAAATGACTCACAACTTCACTTTTACGACGCATAGGATAAAGCCATGTGAAACGAGAGAAATCATCAATAAATAAAACATAATATTTGAAGCCACTTGCAGAAAGAAGAGGGGATTGCCAAACATCAGAATGAATTAAAAATAGCGGAGCAGTAGATTTATGCCAAACTTCTTGAAGAGGTAATCATTGAGATTTTCCTAAGCGACAAGAAATACAATCATGAGAAAAATTTGAAGTACTAAGAATAGTTCCATTCTTCCTAAGCCTATCTAAAATACGACTGCCACAGTGTCCCAAGCGGCGATGCCAGACAGGTCCAGGAGCAACATGAGAGACAAGTGCAACAGGCGCACAGGGAGAAAGAGAGATGGGGTAAACACCACCATTGCCGGAGGCTTGAAGAAGCACCTTCCCCGAAATTTGGTCCTTAACACAAACAGAGTTTTTATCAAAGATCACAAAACAATTATTATCGGCACATAACTTTTGAATGGATAGTAAGTTATATTTAATATGTGGAACATGAAAAACCGAATGTAAATGGAGAGAACGAGACGGAGTAGACAGATGCAGATCACCAATAGTCATAACAGGTAAAGTAGAACCATTTGCAACCGTAATAGAAAGTGGGCCAGAACAACTAGATTTATTAACTAAAATACCTTCATTAGGGGTCATATGAGCGGAAGCACCGGAGTCAGGATACCACACAGCTGGAGAGGATTCACCAGTAGGAACAGCTAAAGCAGGAGCAGACGCTTGAGAAAAACGAGAAGGACATGACACAACGGAATGACCTGGAGAATGACAAATTTGGCAGACAACGGGTGGTGGTATGGAACCAAAATTATTCTCAAAAGATGGGAATCCTGTAGAAACATCGTTAGTACAAAGAGTATATAGTGCAGGGGTATAAAACGATAACCCAACTGTATTACAAAAAACTGTACCCGGTTGACCGAAGGAGTTGTTATTGAACTGTCCACGGCCAGAAGAAGGTTGCTGCGGATATGGCGGACGACCGGCGTATACCTGGGTCTGCTGTCCGTACGCCGGAGCTTGCTGTCCGTACTGCATCTGCTGCGGCTGGTATCGTCCGCGACCGCGGCCATGACCACGTCCTCCGCGACGGCCGCCTCGTCCTCCGCGATTAGGTTACTGCTGTCCAGCGGCATTGGGAACCACCGGAGCAGCTACTGCCACAATATTGGCAGCGAAGGCAGGCTCACAATTAGTTGATTCCAATGATTGTTGATATTGCAGGCGTGCTTCTTGGTGAACAAGTTTGGTGCATAATTTATCAAACGTCAAGCCTTCGGGAAAAAGAGAAAGTGGCCCCACTAGTGATTCATACCCAGGTCCCAAGCCATATAGTGTGTGTTGTAACAAATCCGCATCAGAAACCGGGGCATTAATTGAATTCAAATTATCAGCAATTGTTCGTATGCCACGAACATACTCCTCCATGGACTGATTTGCCTTCTTTCTAGTATGAGACAACATATGTTTTAATTCCATGGAACGGGCAAGACTAGCCGCCATGAAACGAAACTCCAATTTTTGCCAAATTGTATGAAACGAAACTCCATTTTTTGCCAAATTGTTGTGGAATTCTTAAGAGTATGAACTGCCATCAACACCTCGCGAGAAAGAGTAGCAAACAGCCAGGCACAGACAGTCTGATCGAGTTTCAACTAGTGATAATATTCAGGATTAACTGTCTGAGCCTGATATAAATCATGTGTGTACATCGGAGGAGCAGGAAGAGACCCGTCAAGGAATCCCAAGACACCATTCGCAACTAAAAAGGACTCAAATTGTACGTCAAATAATCTTCAACAGCTAATAACTTGGTAGTGACAATTTGAGAGATAGAATTACCAAACGTCATGCCTTGAGCTAAAGCAGCAAAGGAAACTGGCATGGAAGACTCTGGCTGTCTACGGCCGATGATCTGGGATGGGGACGGAAAAATCAGGCCTGGATCGTCAGTAAGGATAGGACCACCGAAGCATGCGCGGATGGCTGCAGCGCTGCTAGACTCGCCGAGGTTGTCTCCAGAAAACACGGGCGGCGGCTGAACTGTGGGTGGTGTCGGCGTCCAGGTAAAAATTGGTGGGACCCATGTGGACTGCAGCGGCGAGAACGAGGACTCGGTGTGGACGAGTTCTGACTGCAGCGGCGCTGAGAAGGGTGCCGATTCGTGTGCTGCGCTCAAAACCGATGCTGCGGTCGCCGATGTGCTGGTCACGGCGGCGATGGTCGAAGCAGACACGGCGGCTGCGGAAGCGGTGGAGGCCATCGGTTGGTTAAAAAAAATCTGTCTAAAATCCTAGGGCTCTTGATACCATGTGAGAATAATGGAAAGGCATACCCATGTGGTAGCCTAGATGTCATATATAATAAAAGGAGTTCTGAGTACATTAGGAAATAAATTAAATATGGAATTCTAATTAAAGTATTAATTAGATTATTAGGGTTGTCACTGAGCATTGTCGGTGGTAGAGTCATTGAGCAACGGGTCGGGGTCACAGGAGATGTGTGCCTTCAGTATTGGTGCCGTGGTGGATGACTGGTTGAGAACAATTTAATTCTCCTTAATGATAATAAATACTCCCCGAAAGAAGTTCCCATTTGACTTTGACACTATTTCGACTGACACTGTCGGGGAAGGAGGGAGTATAAAATAAAATCATAATAAATGTAATATTCTGTATTTAATAGAGGAAATAAAATGCATGTTCACGGTTCATTCACTTTTTGGGGAAATTGAAAACAAAGTCACATTTGTGTCTTTCATGGGTAAATTGGAATGTGCAGCTCAATCAATGCTCTTGCTGTTGCAATTTTGGATTCACTCCCACGGATTTGAGCGTCTCCGCTTTGGGTTCCCTGCAAAACAATGCTGGCCGGGTTAAGGGAGTATTTGGAAAAATATTAAAAAAGTGCATTCCTACTTTTGATTAAGAAAAACTGAAATAACCATTTAAAACCCAAAGACCGGAAGTACTTCAAACAGCATTTCAGCTTTTGAATGGTGCTTCAAAAGCATTTCACTTTATCCATTACAGAAATACTATGTGTAACATTTACTTTATCAAAAAATAAAACTTTCACTTTGTGATAAGCACTAGATCTTTTCTCTAAAATCATTTTTTTAAATCATATTTTTAAAATAAAAGCAATCGCAAAACTTCCTAAGTGCTTTGTATTATACTCCTATCGGCCCTTTTAATATTACAAAGTAAAAATAATGTAAAATTTCAAAAATAAAAGTTACACTTTTCCTCTTAAACTAGTACATGTCTACCATCATGCTTATTTTAGCGTTACCAGGCTCATATAGAATTAACATCTCTCATAAATGACATCGAATTGAATTTTCATCCAAGCAGTATTATATTAATTCAGCTAGCTCGATCCTGTTTGATAATTTCTCGTATGCAATTTAATTCTTATGTGCAGTGTATAAAAAAAGCGATCGAGCAGGATACGCCTTACCTAGCAAGGACATCTCCTCTTATGGGATCAGGAATGGTTTGTGGAGCAGCATCAAAGTGGTGCTGGACATGAGCAACCTTCCGAAAGAAGGATTTCTTGATGAAGTTGTGGGCATCATCCACCACTCGGTCCGGCTCCACCACCTCCGGCACCGTCTCCCTCCTCGACTTCTTCAAATGCACGTTGGGCGACCGGCTCAACTGGTGACGGGCAGTGTGGATCCCGAACCCTGCCGCTAACGCTATCATCCCCACGGCCACGTACACCGGGAAAAACTCCCCCCACGGCGGCGATGCTCCTCCTCCATAAGGGCGAGTTCCTAAAGCTAATTTCCAGAAAGCCTTTTGTGCATTGAAAGGCATTCTTCCACCGGCCTCTTCTTCGATTTTTTTTGTTTTTTGAATTGAAAGAAAGAAAACTAATTAAATATTGGAATGGTTGCGTTTATGTATGAGAAATGGAGGATATATATGGACGGCAAAATGAATTACGATTATATAGAGATATATGGAGTTAAGAAGGGGCGGGACACGAAGACAATCGCCATGCAAAGCACTAGACACTAGTCCAAACCTCAAGACGCCACTTGTCACCACTTTAATAATCCTAATGGTCTGGATCAATTTCATATCGACTAGGGGTGGGTTCGGTTCTTGCGCTTCGGTTTTGACCTAAACCAAATATAGAATCAAAGTAAAAAGTTCGGTTCGTTTTCGGTTCGATTTTACATTCCAAAACTTGGAATCACGGGTTGATTGGTTCGGTTTGTTTTGATTCGGTTTCGGTTTTTTACCAAAAAATTATCATTTGATTTAAATTGATATAATACATTGAGGGATCAAACATATTACATAAAAGGTGCAAGCACACTACACCAAATAAAATAAAAATGAAAATAAATAATTATGCCTTGAATTATATGAATATGCGAGAAAGATAAAAGTATATGAAGAGTACTTGATGGTGTGAATTTCCTATTATGTATGTTTGTATTTTTAACTAGTTTTATTAGTTCTAGTTGTGGAAATTACACACTTTTGGTGTAATACTTTATTTTCATTAATTATTTGTAATTTATTTAGATTAGGATTATTCTGAGCTTAGGACAAGTCAAAATCATCCCAAGAATCAAAGGATGGATCCTAAAGACCAAAGAATGCATGTGCAAAAGGGAGAAGAACAAATGAAGATTTTGATATTTGTTCAATACTCGGTCGAGTATTGCAATTACTCGGTCGAGTATTGGTCAGATACGCTGGTCAAAATCAGATCTAGGAGCAAAAGAACGTGGCTAAATATTTGTTGAAAATCCTGTCATACTCGGTCGAGTATTGGCAATACTCGGTCGAGTATGCCTTATTTTTCACAATTTCCTGGAAATTTCCTCTCATACTTGGTCCAGTATCCCCAATACTGGATCGAGTACAGAACCCTGCCACCTCCATTTTGCTATAAATACACCCCATTTCCTTCACATTAAAACCATTCCTTCTTCCATACTCTTATGCTCAGTTTAGAATAGTATTTCTTTTATATTTTTATAGCATGTTTAGTCTCCAAATGAGGAGCTAAACTTCCATTTCTTGGTGTTGCTCTTGAAGCTTGTTGATTATTAATGTTGTGAGTTATTTTCTTAACTTCTTCCCTTGAATATTAATTCTTCCCTTAATCTGTCTATATATTAATGTTGGGGAGTGTTGCTAAGATGACAATTAGTTAACATCTCGACATTAGTTATAGTAGTATTCATTTACTTCCTATATAAGTATATATTAATGTTGAGAAGTGTTGCTAAGATGACAATTAGTTAACATCTCGACATTAGTTATAGTAGTATTTATTTTCTTCCTCTATATATTAATGTTGGGGGGTGTTGCTAAGATGACAATTAGTTAACATCTTGACATTAGTTATAGTAGGATTTATCATCTTTAATATTCTTCCTTGAATATTAATTAATTCCTATTCATATTTCATATTAATATTTTGAACATTACTTAAATGATCAACTAGTTTTGTTTCATATATTAATTGTTACTAGAATCGATCGACGAATACGCTTGTTAATCGTTGATGGTTTCACAAGTAAGTAATTTCGATTTATTAATGCACGGTCGTGGTTAATAAACTTAAGATGGGTTAATTTTGTTGGTTAAACCGAAATCGTTGTGTTGAGGTTATCAATCTCAATTGATTTCATCAAGGAGTTAAGAGATTAAATGCTACTATCAAGTCGGTATATGGCGGTGTTCTATACTTGACTAATAGTAAAGGTTATTAATGAATGGTCGTTGTTAATAACCACCCTCGATGAATTGGATATACTCCTCGATTGAGTATTCGAGAGGGGATAAGTTATAGATATAACAATGATCGACTAAAATATATCAGCAAGTGGAAAGTAGCAATGCTAAGTCCTTTTTATCTTTGAATTAAATCTCATAAGTCGTTCATCTTCGTATTTAATTAAATTAAATCACTCAATCCCAAAACCCCCCTTATTTACTAGTTTTACTAAAAAGAGAATTATTCCTTTCCCTGTGGATACGAACTCTACTTCACCTATACTACGTATAAGTGCTAGTATCAAATATTATTTTGACGCACCGTGATAAAGTGCTCGTCAGTACTGAAGAGGAGAAGAAATCAGATTGGTATCTTGATAGAGGAGCAAACAACCATATGTCAGGTGATAAGTCTCACTTTACTAAAATGGATCAATCAGTACAAGGTAGAGTGAAATTTGGAGATGGTTCAATGATAAGTATTGATGGGCAAGGATCTGTAATGTTCCAATGCAGTAAAGGTGAGCATGTGGTATTGTCAAATGTAACTACATTCCAAGGCTGAAAAGTAATATTATAAGCATTGGGCAACTTGATGAGAATGGCAGTCAGGTAACAATCAAAGGGGGTGAACTGAGAATTCATGATAATGCTAATAGACTACTTATGAGGTGCAGAGGCAACCAAACAAGCTTTTTATAGCGAAATTGAAGATAACAGAAAGGGTATGTATGTTGACAAGCTTAACTGACAAATCCTAGCTGTGGCATGCTAGATTTGGCCATTTAAACTTTCAAGCGCTTAAGAAGTTGGCTAGTCGCAGGATGGTTGATGGAATGCCAGAAATATCTCAGGTGAATCAAATATGTGATGGATGTCTAGTGGGAAAACAACACAAAACATCATATCCACAGAAGACACAATTCAGAGCAAAGGAGAAGCTTCAACTAGTGAATGGAGATCTCTGTGGGCCTATCTCACCATCTACTCCTGGAGGCAATAGTTATTTCATGCTCCTTGTTGATGCCTATTCAAGGTTTATGTGGGTATCCTTGATAAAACTTAAAGGGGATGCTCTTGAGTCTTTCAAAAGATTCAAGCATTTGGCTGAAAATGAAATGGGGAGAAAACTGAAGTGCTTCAGAAAAGACAGAGGAGGGGAATTCACATAAAATGAATTCAAGAAATTCTGTGATGATGAAGGCATAAAAAGGCACCTAACTGCACCCTACTCACCCCAACAAAATGGGGTGATAGAAATTATAGAAGAAACCAAACTATTGTTGCAATGGCTAGAAATCTGCTAAAAACAAAGATATGCCAGCATGTTACTGGGGTGAAGCAGTTAAAACTTCACTTTATTTGTTGAATAGGGCACCAACAAAGAGTGTGGAGGGTATGACTCCCTATCAAGCTTGGTATGAGAAAACACCAAATGTACAACATCTACATGTATTTAGATGTTTAGCTCATGTCAAAATTGTGTTTCCCCATCTCACAAAATTGGCAGATAGATGTATAAAGGCAGTATTGTTTGGGTATGAAGAAAGGTCAAAGGCGTACAGGTTATTTGACCCAATCAAAAGAAAGCTTTTGGTCAGTAGAGATGTTGTATTTGAAGAGGACAAAGGATGGAAATGGGAGGCTGAACAAGACAGAGAGGAAGAAAACTCCAAAAACACCTTCACAGTCATAGTAAGAGAAGGGAGATGGGATAAAAATCAGTCAGAAGACTTGTCACATTACCAGGAACAAGATTCAGATATCTCACCACCATCAACACCACATGAGTCTCCTACAACCTCCTCTAGCTCAAGTTCAAGTTCAGGACCCCTAAACTTCAGATCTTTACAAGAAATTTATGATGCTACAACAGAAGTAAGTGAAGAAGTGGGGCTATGTTTTCTGACACTGGAAGAACCATCAACATATTCAGAAGCTGTAGGTAATGAAAAATGGAGAGAAGCAATGGCCTTAGAGATTGATTCCATATAGAAGAATGGAACTTGGGAGTTGACTGATTTACCAAGGAATCATAAGGCAATAGGGCTAAAGTGGATCTTTAAATTGAAGAAGAATCCAAAAGGTGAGATAATCAAGTATAAGGCCCGGCTGGTAGCCAAAGGGTATGCTCAGAAATATGGAGTAGATTATACAGATGGGGAAGTCTTTGCCCCAGTTGCTAGAATGGAAACTGTGAGAGTTTTACTAGCATATGCAGCACATATGGAAATGGAGGTTCACTATCTAGATGTGAAAACAACATTTCTAAATGGTGAATTAAAAGAAGAAGTATATGTAATGCAACCTGAGGGTTTTGGAGATGCAGAGAATCCACACAAAGTGCTGAATCTTCATAAGGCCTTATATGGTTTAAGGCAAGCTCCTAGGGCATGGAATGAAAAGCTTGATACATGTCTGAGGTCTTTAAGGTTCACAACGTGTATCTATGAGCATGGTTTTTTTTTTGGAAAAAGAGATTTTTATTGAAAAAAGTAAACAGTACAAAGTAAGAAAATACAGAGAAAGAAAAGAAAATAAAAGAAAGAAAATAAAACGATACAGAGAAAGAAAAGACTAAAACTACACCCACGGAAATTCTCTTTACTGAGACCTAGTAACCATGCTGTGCCGCCTTTTATTCTTTTGAGATTTCCTGTAGCTTTTGAGTTGTGTGTTTAAATTTTCCGTTGACAGACAATTTTCTGAAGTAACAAACTTTGATTTCCTGCAGATCGCTCTGTTGAATTTTGATTTTGTGATTTCTCCTGGAGTTGAGATAGGGGGACGACGATCGCTTTCAATGGCATGTCCCAGAAAGTTGTCCATGAAAGAAGAATCATCTGATTGATAAAAGTTTTCTGATGCATCTGAGTAAGCCTGAACAAGCATGTGTCGTTCTACTGCAGTTGGACACCTTTGATTCTCTGAGTAGGCTCCCTGAATTTGGTAATCAAAAATAAGTTTAGATATTGATTTTGTCTCCTCTTAACTAACATGTTTTCTTGTAGCCAATCCATTGTTGTCTCCTATAGTAAATTAGCCAGTCCAACAAAATTTGAGAATATTGCCATGAAAAATTTTAAATTGCTGTTTTTGGGCCCATGCGGATTAGTATGAAGCTCCCCTTTTCCTTAGCAATCTTCAGATACCGGCCTGAGTCGTTGAAA